GAACTGTACAGTGATGAGTCCAACCAGGAAGTTTTTTATGAATTTTGTAGGCCCTGTTGTAGAGCCTAGTTAGCTTCAATCAGAGCAAATAAATGTTAAAAGTCTGATATAAAGGGGAGTTTTGAACAAACAGAACTCACCACTCCAGCTAGTTCCAAGAACTGAATAATTCTGTCATCGTCCACTGACCCTGGAGAAAAACATGTTAAGAAGATGACTGTACCATGATACAGCATCTTTTGTTTTTGTGCTGTTAGCAGAAATGTTTTAAAAAAAAATTTCCTGCATGTTACAGTTTTATTGTAAATATTTTGGTCAAGACATACCTGATGCAGGGTAAATATCCTTCAGTGGGTAAATCACCTGTTGGAGTGAAAAATGATGTAAATATTTGTATTTTTAATTATATGACATGGTGGGTGAAAATATTGACCTGTTCCCGCAGAGTGCCATCAGTCATGTAGGGTTTCTGTGGCAGGAAGAGTGTTCCTCTGGGTCCGAAACATGTGGTCATTTGAACAAAACCTGACACAAAATGGAAAGTTAATACACCATGATTGTGTAGAAATGTTAGGAATCAGACATTTAAGAACCTTTGCAGTACTACAATGTGTCAGGCGTTGTTTTTACTGCCTGAACTGGTCAGGAGGAAAGCTGAAAACCAGACTCCGTCCATGTGTCTCACCGCTGTGTGCTTCCCAGAGACGGTTAAGGACTCGCAGTAACGATGTTTTCCCGGTGCCCGTGTTCCCCACCACCAGCAGATGAGTCCCCTGACTGATTTTCAGGCTCAGATTCTCCACCAGAGGCTGGTCTGACAGCGGAGATTTGTAGGAGAGGTGGTCCAAGACGAAGGCTGTGTCCACAGGGCCTGCATGGACATTAAAGTCGCTGTTGGGAAAGTTAGTGGGAAAAAATCATCATCAGATAATGATGCCGACACGTCTTCATGTCTTTTTTTCTGTTTTTAAGATGCTTCTGCAAAAAATGTCCACCTAACCATTTTAAAATCTTATATCAGCCAAAAAGTCTTTTTGATCTTGTTTTGAGACTGATTTACTAAACAAGAACTGATTGTGTAAGAATAATAATCTTGTTTTCAGAATGTGTAAGATTATTTGTCTTGTTAGTCTGAAAATTTGACTCAAATTAAGTCAAAAATTTCTGCCAGTGGAGTAAGAAAATTTTACTTGGTAAGATTCTTAAAATACTTGATTTGACTCAGTTTTTTCTTATTTCAAGAACCTTACCAAGTAAAATTTTCTTACTCCACTGGAAGAAATTTTTGACTTAATTAGAGTCAAATTTTCAGGCTAACAAGACAAATAATCTTACACATTCTGAAAACAAGATKATTATTCTTACACAATCAGTTCTTGTTTAGTAAATCAGTCTCAAAACAAGATCAAAAAAGACTTTTTGGCTGGATATAAGATTTTAAAACTTGGTAAGATGGACATTTTTTGATTCCCAAAACGTCCCAACTGCTCAGATAATTTAACATCAGCTCACACAGACCTGTCAAAGTCGTAGCTCTCCCCGGACGCAGGGTCGTAGTCGCACTGCTTCCGTAGGATATCGTCCATCACCTCCCTCAGCTCCCCGATCCTGACCACCAAACACAGACAGATTCAGTGGTCCCGAGCTGAATGGCACACACAAATCTTACTTTATCATTTGCCCTGCGGCTCAAGTATGCAGCAGGATACCTGTGGGTGTAACCAGCCACATCTGACAGAGTCGTGGACAGGTCTATTAGCTGCGTGAAGCCATTTATCAAGTAGATGCACACGAAGGCGTTCTGAATACAGACGAGCAGAGGACAAACCAGAGCAGGGAGTGAGACACAAATGAAGAATAAAACGGCAACACGAGTTTAAAGCAAACATGCAGATGTGCCAACTGATACATTTATTATATACTTCTGAAGAGAAATGCATCCAGAAATGATGGAGAAGAGAGATTTGGTGCCACCAAGTGGCTAAATTAAAAACAACAGCTCAGATTTCTGCACTTTGTATCCCMAACAGAGATGGGCAGAGTACACAAAAGTTGTACTCAAGTAAGAGTAGCACTACTTCAGCATATTTTTACTAAAGTAGAAATTAAAAGTTATCCGTCCAAGACAATCTAGTAAGAGGAAAAAAGTATTTTGTAAAAAAAAAAAGCCTACTTGAGTACTGATCATACCTGATTTAATACTTTAAAATGATGACTGACAAAAAATAGAAATTCATGTGACAATTCTGGTGTTTTTAAGGACTAAAATAAAGACAAGTAAAACAAATAAAAACCATAATTACAATATTTATGAAGAAGTCATTAAAACAAATATCAGCCTACCTTACTAATGAGGGCACTAAGTTCACCCGGAGTGAGCCCATCATAAACACCGGTGAAGATGGGAATGGCGATTATAATGTAGCTGAGGAAACCTCCGAGGTAATCGAAGGTGTTCACTCCAACTGAGATGTGTCGGATTAAATCATCCAGATTAAAAGAACAACAGGTTAGGTGACGACAGAGGAAAGAGACTTTCTGCACTTCGGGGTTTTCTTACTGTAAAGCCAGAGCTCTTTGTTTATGAGACTCTTCTGAGTCTGCAGCAGCGTCTGCAGCCTTCGGTCCGTTCTCACGTGCTCCACTTTTCCTGCTCTGGAGACAAATCAGATCATCCCCAGTCATGTGTAAAGTGCTGAACATTTACACGTTCAGTAAAGCTTGCTGTGCACAACACTCGCTTTTCACCTGTAAAAAGCTGCAGACTCTGCATTGACACGGATTTGCATGTGTTTAAATCTGTAAAGAAAAAAAAGAACATTTTTACTAAAACTGTTATCAGAGTTACAGCTGCTACATCCCTGCTGTTATAATCACAATCTGGCTGTTGTTTTTATTCACGTTTTTAAAATGCATATTTTGCACATTTAGTTAGGGGTGTTATCATACTTTTTTAATATATTTTTACCTTGTGTGAATTGCCCGTCACTTTGCTGCTGATGCGCCTGAATTTCCCCACTGAGGGACAATAAATTCTATTCTATTCTATTCTATTCTATTCTATTCTATTCTATTCTATTCTATTCTATTCTATTCTATTCTATTCTATAATATGTTAGATTATTTATCCTGTTAGCCTGGATATATTTTTTTTAAGGTTTGGGGATTATTTCACTTAACTTGAATCTGAATCGTCACAAATTTCTGAAATTAAGTGAAATAATCTGCTAATGGAATAAAACAATGAAAACTTCCAGGCTGATGAGATAAATAATTTAACACATTCTGCTCTTGCTTAGTATAGAAGCCTCAAAACAAAACAAAAATATATTTTTGGCTGGATATAAGATGAAAAGACTTGGTTAGATGGACACTTTTTGCAGCGATAGCTCTGACCTTTTTCTTAGACGTGTCTACAAACACACACAAACACACACACACACACACACACACACACACACACACACACACACACACAC